TTTGAATTATGGTTTTCTCAGGGTATATGCCCAGTAGTGGGATTGCTGGGTCTCACGGTAGTTCTATTTTTAGTTTTTTAAGGAACCTCCATACTGTTCTCCATAGTGACTGTATCAATTTACACTCCCACCAACAGTGCAAGAGGGTTCCCTTTTCTCCACACCCTCTCCAGCATTTATCGTTTGTAGATTTTTTTGGTGATGGCCATTCTGACTGGTGTGAGGTGACACCTCATTGTAGTTTTGATTTGCATTTCTCTAATGATTAGTGATGTTGAATATCCTTTCATGTGTTTGTTAGTCATCTGTATGTCTTCTTTGGAGAAATGTCTATGTAGGTCTTCCACCCATTTTTTGATTGGGTTGTTTTTTTGATATTGAGCTGCATGAGCTGTTTGTATATTTTGGAGATTAATCCTTTGTCCATTGCTTCATTTGCAAATATTTTCTCCCATTCTGAGGGTTGTCTTTTTGTCTTGTTTATGGTTTTCTTTGCTGTGCAAAAGCTTTTAAGTTTCATTAGGTCTCATTTATTTATTTTTGTTTTTATTTTCATTACTCTAGGAGGTGGGTCAAAAAAAATCTTGCTGTGATTTATGTCAAAGAGTGTTCTGCCTATGTTTTCCTCTAAGAGTTTTACAGCGTCCGGTCTTACATTTAGGTCTCTAATCCATTTGGAGTTTACTTTTGTGTATGGTGTTGGAGGCAGGCAGCGCTTGGCTGGGTCTTGGGCAAGGTAATGCTGGAGACATGCTGAGCTTTTCCTTACCTGGCGAACATGCTCCAGTCTTTATTACACTGGCTGAAACCGACCATCATCCTGGCCAGAGCTCTGGTAAGTCTGAAGGTCAACTGAAAACTTTGTATAGCTGCTCACAAAGGATTCTCAGCTTGTCCACACACAGGAGCAAATAAACTGACATGAACAGCTAGCTTGTGTATATATTTTAGCTATATTATATTTTATGTATACATTGTAATATATACATTATAATTTATATAATATAGTTGATATTATGGGACATGATTGAAATGTTGGAACCTTTTATACCTAAAAAGTATAAGATAATGGCTTCCTATTGCTTTAATTTTGTATCTATATGAGACGATGGATTTTCACTAAACCGATTTTTTTAAATTTTTAAAAAATTTTATTGAAGTATAGTTGATTTACAATATTGTGTTAATTTCTTCTGTACAGCAAAGTGACTCAGTTATACATACATATATATATTCTTTTCCATTATGGTTTGTCATAGGATATTGAATATAGTTTTCCCTGTGCTATACAGTAGGACCTTGTTGTTTATCCATACTACATATAATAGTTGGCCTCTACTAATCCCAAACTCCCAATCCTGCCCTCCTCCCCCTTGGCAACCACAAATCTGTTCTCTATGTCTGTGAGTCTGTTTTTGTTTCATAGATACGTTGGTTTGTGTCATATTTAGATGACACATATAAGTGATATCATAAGGTATTTGTTTTTCTCTTTCTGACTTAACTTCACTTAGTATGATAATCTCTAGGCCTTTCCATGTTGCTGCAAATGGTATCATTTCATCCTTTTCTGATGGCTGAGTAATACTCCATGGTATGTATGTACCACACTTTCTTTATCATTCATCTGTCGATGGACATTTAGGTTGTTTCGATGTCTTGGCTATTGTAAATAGTGTTGCTATGAACATAGGGGTGCACATATCTTTTCAGATTATAGTTTTGTCTGGATATATGCCCAAGAGTGGGATTGCTGGATCATATGGCAACTCTCTTTTTAGTTTTTTGAGGAACCTCCATACTGTTTTCCATAGTGGCTGCACCAATTTACATTCCCAACAACAGTGTAAAAGAGTTCCCTTTTTTCCACACCCCCTCCAGCATTTGTTACTTGTAGACTTTTTCATGATGGCCATTCTGACTGGTGTGAGGTGGTACCTCATTGTGGTTTGGATTGGCGTTTCTCTTTTAGTGATGTTGAGCATCTTTTCATGGGCCTATTGGCCATCTGTATGTCTTTTTTGGACACTAAACTTGTTGTTCTCATCATTTCATGATGTATGTAAGTCAGATCGTTACACTGTACACCTTAAACTTATACAGCACTATATGTCAATTATATCACAATAAAACTGGACAAAAAGGGGGGCAAAAAAGATAATGACTTTCCTGAGTGTGCCCTGAAATATGTGATTACAATTAATATAATGAGTAGAGACATACTAACATATTACTAGTGAAGGCATCAAAGCTCAGTAAACCTGAAGTTTGAGAACATTAACAATCAGGTGCTGGGCTTCCCTGGTGGCGCAGTGGTTGAGAATCCGCCTGCCAGTGCAGGGGACAAGGGTTCAAGCCCTGGTCCGGGAAGATCCCACATGCCATGGAGCAACTAAGCCCGTGCACCACAACTACTGAGCCTGCGCTCTAAAGCCCATGTGCCACAACTACTGAGCCTGAGTGCCTAGAGCCCATGCTCTGAAACAAAGAGAAGCCACCGCAATGAAAAGTCCGTGCACCGCAATGAAGAGTAGCCCCTGCTCGCCACAACTAGAGAAAGCCCACATTGCAGCAACAAAGACCCAATGCAGCCAAAAAATAAAGTAAATAAATTAAAAAAATCAGGTGCTAAAGTAATAGTAATATTTGTACTTTACATGAAGTCAAGTTAAATATTGGGAGGGGGCAAAAAATCATGATAAGCAGGTTCCTGAGATTTCTTACAGTCAGTTCATAATCTTGATATTATTTTCACTAGCTTTTCTCCTGATTTTTAAAATGAATACATATGGTGTAATGTTAGCGAGCATATTTCCCTCTAGACCAACAATATTTTTTAAAATTGAGAACTCAAAAAAACAAGAAAACCTAGTGATAAAGGCATTTTATTTCTATTTACTAATACTGGAAATTTAAAAAAGAAAGTAATAAGAGCCTGTCTGGTAAATGAGGGTGGTGGAAACTGTATCTGGTTTGCTTGCTGTCAGCCATGGAGAAGAGGGTCAGCAGGTTACATGGGAAGGCACCATACTTGCAATGAATTTATCAGGAACTCACCAGGCATCATCCCAGAGCTTTCAGAAAAGCAGAGCTTAGGTTGCTTTCATGTCCTGGCGATTGTAAATAGAGCTGCAATGAACATTTTGGTACATGACTCTTTTTGAATTATGGTTTTCTCAGGGTATATGCCCAGTAGTGGGACTGCTGGGTCGTATGGTAGTTCTATATTTAGTTTTTTTTTTTTTTTAATTAATTTTTGGCTGTGTTGGGTCTTCGTTTCTGTGTAAGGGCTTTCTCTAGTTGTGGCAAGCGGGGGCCACTCTTAATCACAGTGCGCGGGCCTCTCACTATCGCGCCCTCTCTTGTTGGGAGCACAGGCTCCAGACGCGCAGGCTCAGTAGTTGTGGCTCACGGGCCCAGTTGCTCCGCGGCACGTGGGATCTTCCCAGACCAGGGCTCGAACCCGTGTCCCCTGCATTGGCAGGCAGATTCTCAACCACTGCGCCACCAGGGAAGCCCCTGTATTTAGTTTTTTAAGGAACCTCCATACTATTCTCCACAGTGGCTGTATCAATTTACATTCCCACCAACAGTGCAAGAGGGTTCCCTTTTCTCCACACCCTCTCCAGCATTTATTGTTGGTAGACTTTTTGATGATGGCCATTCTGACCGGTGTGAGTGACACCTCATTGTAGTTTTGATTTACATTTCTCTAATGATTAATGATGTGAGCATTCTTTCTTTCATGTGTTTGCTGGCAATCTGTGTCTTCTTTGGAGAAATGTCTATTTAGGTCTTCTGCCCATTTTTGGATTGGGCTGTTTGTTTTATTGATATTGAGCTGCATGAGCTGCTTGTAAATTTTGGAGATTAATCCTTTGTCAGTTGCTTCGTTTGCAAATATTTTCTCCCATTCTGAGGGTTGTCTTTTTGTCTTGTTTATGGTTTCCTTTGCTGTGCAAAAGCTTTGAAGTTTCATTAGGTCCCATGTGTTTATTTTTGTTTTTATTTCCATTTCTCTAGGAGGTGGGTCAAAAAGGATCTGGCTGTGATTTATGTCATAGAGTGTTCTGCCTATGTTTTCCTCTAAGAGTTTGATGGTATCTGGCCTTACATTTAGGTCTTTAATCCATTTTGAGTTTATTTTTGTGTATGGTGTTAGGGAGTGTTCTAATTTCATTCTTTTACATGTAGCTGTCCAGTTTTCCCAGCACCACTTACTGAAGAGGCTGTCTTTTCTCCACTGTATATTCTTGCCTCCTTTATCAAAGATAAGGTGACCATAAGTGCATGGGTTTCCATCAACAGATGAATGGATAAAGAAGATGTGGCACATATATACAATGGAATATTACTCAGCCATAAAAAGGAATGAAACTGAGTTATTGGTAGTGAGGCAGATGGACCTAGAGACTGTCATACAGAGTGAAGTAAGTCAGAAAGAGAAAAACAAATACCATATGCTAACACATATATATATATATTGAATCTAAAAAAGAAAAAATGGTCATGAAGAACCTAGGGGAAGGACAGGAATAAAGATGCAGACCTACTAGAGAATGGACTTGAGGATACGGGGAGGGGGAAGGGTAAGCTGGGACAAAGTGAGAGAGTGGCATGGACATATATACACTACCAAACGTAAAATAGCTAGCTAGTGGGAAGCAGCCGCATAGCACAGGGAGATCAGCTCGGTGCTTTGTGACCATCTAGAGGGGTGGGATAGGGAGGGTGGGAGGGAGGGAGACGCAAGAGGGAAGAGATATGGCGACGTATGTATATGTATAACTGATTCACTTTGTTATAAAGCAGAAACTAACACACCACTGTAAAGCAATTATACTCCAACGGAGATGTTAAAAAGAAAAAAAGAAAAGCACAACTTTCAGAAAAGCAGTTTGCATCTGGTTATATGTTTACTTACCACGCCCTCAAAGCCAAAACCTTTTAACTTGGTAACGGTTGCGTTCTTTGACTAGGAAGTAGTTATAGGGACAAGGTACAAAAAATAATAAGCATGCAGCCCTTTATTTAGTTTTGCAAAGTCTCTGCTTATAGTTCTGTATATTACATAACTGTGTTATACAAATACATTTATTTACAAAAACACTCTAGCTGTGCAAACTTGTTGCTTTTTAAAAATGTCCAGGAAGTTCCATTTCTGCCCATCCCAAGATATATTTTTAAAGCATGCATAAAAATTAACTTTGGTGTGGGAAAACTACTCTATGTGCGGTCACATACAGTATTTTTGGTGTCTATTTATATATTTACAAAAATTGATCAGTTTACAGAACCGTACAGAAGTGTACATTCTAAAATCCACAATGCAATAGTGTGGGTTACCAGGTCTCAGAGAACAAAGGAAGGATTTAGATACTGCAAAGAAAACAACTAGCGAATCCCAGTATGTTAGAAAAGAGAAAAAAGAAAGAAACAGAACAAAACTAGCTTGCTTGGGCCGGCAAATTATTATACATAATTTTCATGGCAGTGCAGTAGGGTTGAGCATTGCCTTCCACGTGTGCCTCTGTGTTGGCTTGTGCAGAAGTTCACTGGCTTATTGTCTAGCATGCTACTTTCAAATGTACAAGGCTACAGTATCAAAATGTTTTGGCAAAAAAGATCTCGAAAGGAACCATGAAGTTTTGACAAAAATAGAAATCTGTAATAAAGCTAAATAACACTAAAATAAAAGGAAATATTATAGTATCTGTTTTACAATTTGTATAGTCACACTTGTGTATTTCTCTGTTCACGTCTAGTCTCCGTAATGAAAAATATTTTTATACAAAACATACTAAAATTCTGGAATCATACATGTTTTACATGCTTCATACATTTTTTTCTTGTCTCACCACACCCTTCTCTCCTGCCATACTCTCTTTTGGTAACACATGCTTACTTCATTTAACAGGTATTGAATAGAGACAGTAAACACTATGTAATTAGAACAGCGACAAAGTAAAAAAACAAACAAGCTTTACTGAAATCTATTAATCCAGTATTTAGCACATACTTAGCAGTAAACCTCAAACAGTACAGCGATATGTTACATTCTCTTGTGAAAACACTTGTCGAAGACTGTTAAAAATTTTTTTTTTCTTAAATGCAACTCCGACTCGTGCCTAATAGGATTTGGCCTTTTAAGAGGTTTCCTTTGCTGTGGACTGGGTGGCTTTGCTTGAACTTCCGCTCTGTGCCTTGTAGCTGGTGAGGCTAGGAGTATGGATGGTCCTGATGCTCTTGGCACCTTGATTCAGTGAAGCTGGGGAGGCAGGGGGGGGCAGGGAGGAGGAGAAGGAAGGAGGGGCTGCTCGGCCATTCTGAGTCTGCAGTGAGAATGAGAGATGGTGACCTTTACCTGTGTGAGCGGGGCTCTGAAACTTCAAGGAGCCATTAGAGACAGAGGGGATGAGGGAGGCAGAGGGAGCAGATCGTCCTGTTTGGGGGCTGAGAGGGTTAGAAGGAACCGATGGTTTAGTAGCAGGTGGATTAGGGAAGTTAGAGCTGTCACCACTAGAAGAAGGCAGAGAACTGCTTTTCCCAGAGCTGGGAGAAAGGGCTGGAATCTTAGAAGCAGGTAAGGAGGGGAAAGTAGGCTTACAGTCCCCACCAGCTTTCTTAGCACTTCCATTAGCCTGCAAATAAAGACGGCAGGAGACAGTTTGTCAGAAAGCTGGTAACACCATCAATCCACAGGGTCTGGCAACACAGCCCTTCTGAGAGTCATTAAATCAAAGACACCAAACCAAACCAGTTCAAGGCCTGAGCTAAGTCTTGTCGTGCTGTACTGGACCTGGGAGAAACCCCCAAAGTGCAGAGCAGAGGGTGTACAGAACAGGGAAGAAGGAAGAAGAGTGTTTGTGAGAACAGGCACATCATTCTACTACCGTCTCCGGGTGCTGGGTGGAGACGTGAGGGTTGCGTGAGGGCTGTTACTGGGGCGGGGCTGAGGCATCGTGACGGAGTGTTAATGGGCCTCTAGTGCGATGCCGTCCACGTACACGTTAGTGCTGGAGACTTTCAGGGCGGCTTTGTCTGTCTCGGTTTCCCAAGGTGTTCTGATGAACCACTACACTCCCCCAAGGAAAGCCACCTGGCCCGCCACCTTGTGTTAACAGGTCAACTTTGGAGTCACAAAGTAAAAGCTGTTTTATTGCGAGCATGCAAAAGAGTGGTGAGAAATTCAACAGAGGCTTTGAGACTCTCTTCATGCCCCCAGATCCAGGACGTGTACGTAAACCGTATCTTACACAGAAAAATGCAATATTTGGTATAAACTAAGTCAGTGACTTGCTTCTTAAGCGCAAGAGTGTCCATCCAATATTGGGTTTAAGGTAAAACTACCTGACGATATTGGCGGGGATCCTGCAGTTTGGACTGCTTGCCAGGTTTGTCCAGGCTTCCGGGTCTGTTCTTGGAACTCATGGGGATCGGCATCCTGCTCGTCTGAGGGGTTCCCGTGGAGCCCTGTGGGGAGAAGCAGCAAGTGGGGGAGAGAGAGGACGCGTGTGAGCAGCTTACCCCCGAGGCCGCCCCACTGTGCGCAGAGAAGCTCAACGTGAGAAGCCACAGCCCTACATGCAGGACAGATCTAGGAGACGGACATCAGGAGACACCACTGGGGTTAATTTGAAGAATCAAACAGAATAACACTGCTCCACTACTGATCAAACGGATTTTAATGTGAGTATCAGAGCAATCACTCCAATGGCAAATGGCTGACCCAGCATCCTTTGCGGTTTTCCCAACACCAGTCAGCAACAGAGGTAAAAACAGAATCGATTAGCTGTTAGACACCTAGTTGTTGTTGTTCTGAAGGCGAGGGAGAAAGTGTGAGAGAAAGGATCATTGCGAACAGACAACGAAACCAAACGAGACGAGCCACCTGAAAGGAAGCAAGTAAATCACAAGACACCTTTCGCTAATGGTGATTATGACAGGTTTAAGAAAGCAGCTGGCTCTTTTCATTTTCCGTCAGACCAAGATACCTTACGTGAAGCCGAAGGTACAGACGAGGGGGGCTCTGGGGCAGTGGGAGCTTCATCCAGGACTAGCAAGGACTGGGGACAGGCCTCCTGGGCCACGTGGGATGAGCTTGCAACAGACTCTCTGTTGGAGGAACACGAGGTCTCAACTAGGGCTTTGGGACTCATCTCACTGATGGTATTTTCCAGCTGTTTGATGGTCTGCTCCAGGCTGTCCAACGTTCTGTAGGTATTTTTTCTGATTTCATCAGTTCTCGAGATCGGAGCTGTGCTCTCCAGACCGGGCTGCTCTAGTCTCCTGAGCATACTTTTCGGGGTGTCTTCGGATCGAGACCCGCTGATCTCGAAGCGCTTGGCTTCTCTGTGCTGCTTCAAAGTGCCGTCCTCTTCCTCCTCTTCATAGACCACCACCTGCAACGTCTTATTCCCCGTCTTGGTTCCCGTGCGAATGGCTTGCGTGAGAGCGGCGAGCTGCTTTTTCGGGAATTTGAATTTGAACTTTTTCTTGGGGCTTTCAAACTGGTCATCGGTCGTGTCGCCCTGGCTTTCTGAACTTGGAGAATCGGCTGGGTTGAACTTGCTCTGCTCGGTTTTAGTCACTTCCTGTCCTCCTGACATTCCGGTCTCCGCTGAAAGGAAGTGCGGCTGGAATTTACTCTCAGCCTCCTGCCCTGCTCCGAGGTTGCCCGAGGCCCCCTCCTTAGGAAGCTTTTGGGAGGTGTTACTCTGGACCACAGTATCTCCATTCTCCTCCTCTTCCTCTATCTTCTCCTCTGTCATCATTCTCTCCAATTCCTCGTCGCATTCCTCAAATATGGTTGAAAGTCTCTTGTATGCGGACCGGATGTCCATGGGTTCATCAAAAATGATGATCACGGGTTTCTTGTCCAGGCATACGACCGGCTCTTCACTGTCAGTGCCTTCTTGCTGGGAAGTTGTCTCTTTTTTGGCGTCAATGTTGACCGTCTGTACATCTTGCCCCTGTTTGCTCACTATGTCGCGGACCTCCCCGCTGGAGAGAACTTGGACTGCAGTTTTGGTGATCATGAAGGCAATGCTGTCGGTGGTTGCACTCTCCTCGGTGGGAGAGCCTGCTGTGGACTCTCCATCCTCATCAGGCGTCAGGTTAGCAGGCCTGGCTCCCTTCGGTCTTAGGACAACTTGGCCAAACTCTGTCAAGGGAACCTCTTGGTCTTGAGTTTTGACATCACGAATAGTCGATTCGGTTGATCTAGTGGGAGAGGGAAGGTGACACTTATCTGTATTTTCTTGTCCTTGCTGGGTCACCCCCTTTGTCTTCCCATAATTCATCTTCTGATTCTCAGTGTCACACACAGGGTACGGCAGCCCTGAGATTTTAGGTCCTTTGTTGATTTCATCTTCTAAGGAACTGACGCCAGAGAAACTAGAATTGACCCTGGACACATTTTTCTGGGAATAGTTTCTACCGTCTCTAAGTAAACTCTTAGTGGATATGGAACTTTCCTTCATTAAGATGTCAGTTTTGTATTCTGATGTTCTTGCTGCATCAGAAATACTATTCTCCATTCCTCTTTCCCACTTAGGATGGTCACTAGGTACGGAAGCCCCTGCGGTAACCTGGGAGGGAGAGTGGAGGAGGGAAACCACACATAGTGATCAGAAATGGATCTGCAAAGGAAGGGAATTAATCTGCATGGTATCAGTTGGAACACAGATCTGGTGGACTCACCTTCCAGGATTCCATTTGGGGGCCATTTTCATATTCAACATCACATTTCCGTACGTCTTCGTGGAAAAATTCCAAATTCTGGTAGAATAGTGTAGGACATGTTACTCCACAAAACCACACCCCCCCAAAGTGGGCTACAACTAGATTGTTTCTTTAATTACACTTCAAAACATGCGGGCCAAGCACATTCGTCACACACCAGTCCAAAGCCTACAGCTCTGTTTACCTTGGGTGGCTTGGTTCTCCAACTTCCAAAAATGCCCTGTGTTTGCACAAGATGAAAATCTCAATTAGCAAAATATTTCAAGGATTTCAAATTTCGGTGGGAGGAGCAGTTAAGAGAATAAAGGGACCAGTTCTGGACCAACACCTCCTCTTTTCAACATCTGAGTGTGAGCTTAGCCGACTCCAAAACCAGAAGAGTGGCATGGCATCGTAGAAAGCACAGTACACGAGCAGGCAGATTTCGACTCTAACCCAGATCTGCCGCTTAACTGTGTTATTTTAGGCAAGTCATTTCACTTCCTTGGGCCTCAGTTTTCTTGCTTATAAACCAAGGAACTAGACCAGGAAAGTTTTCACGTCTCTGCCAACTAGTTATTTCATATTTCAGTCTCATCTCTGCTTCTTGTTTGGGGATTGCCCTATAACGACTCTGCATTGCTTGGGTATGGTACTTTGAGATGAAAAAAACCCAGTTTTCCCTGGTCAAATCACAGATTTGAAAACATACTTGCAGTTTGTACTTAAACTTGCCAAGTAAAGTGTCAAAATAACCTTCAAACGAATCGTAGCCAAGATGCTCAAATCCCAATTCAGAGTGACAGTGCTGCCAAGATGTCATCTAAACATTTACAAAACAGATATTTGAGGCTCAAGTGGTGACCGTGACAACATGACTCAGCTTTTCCTTGAAGAGACAAGAATTTTCAATATAATACCCATTAACAAAGACTCCGGCTTTCATCCATGAAGATCTGGGTACTCTACAGTTTTTCTGCTTGGCCCTCTGGTGGTCCACACAAATCAAAATCCTTTCAAATAGTTTCTGTTTGACCTAGAAATTTCAATTCTCATTTTTGGGTATTTATACCAAGTAGGTCATCAGGTACAATATTTTAACTACATGATTCAGCTTTGGTTCTGTGTGTGCTCTGATGCCGAGGAAAGCTGCACTTCTGAGGTTCTCACCAAGAGATTCAGAAGGTAAGAGCCCAGCAGTGAGAACCGGGTATGGAGAATGCTCCACCAGGCACGGGTGTATCGGTAGCCTCGGGCCCTGCCGCCATGCTACCACTAGCCGTGCCTTGTCACTTCCAAGGCACTGCTGTCCTTTCTTCTGGCTGTAGAAGCCCAAGAGGAAGAGGTGATTAGAACAGGATGGGACACGATCCCAAGAAGCCTGTTGGGTTAAAGCAATGACAACATAACGAAGCGCAAGAACCCAGGCTCCCACCGATGACAGCCTAGAGCGATCCTGCTGCCTGGTTAAAACCAGAAAGAATGTCCGTACACATTCAAGCAATAACACACAGAGATAACAAAGTCAGTATTAATCACGTGGAAATACGGCACAGGATCCAAGGTGCACGAGCCACCAAACACCTCCTGTTCAACTTCCCCTTGGCCGCATCAGGCCCCAAACAAGAGCAACGAGATTCAGCTGCTACGGTGGAACAATATCATCTCTTTGGTGGGATTTTAAATTTAGAATCAACAACTAATGCATCAAGTAAACGTTGCAAGAAGAAAAACAGATGAGGTTTCAGCTTAAGGTTTCAGCTCCAAACAGGGAGTCAGCGTATCACGCCAGGACCTGAGTGCGACTTTACCCTTGAGTCACAGGAGGAATTGGCATCTGCGGGGCTGCTGTTCTGCTGGCCTCATTGATTGGGGGGTTAGGGCTGGCATCTGTTCTGATTGGTCAGGGCCCGTGTCATACCCACTGTTAAATATTTCAAATGCCACCCAGCAATATACGTATTTTAAAACAGATCTACTAGCAGGAATCCTCCAATGGAAAGTCAGTAAGATAAAGATGTCAAGTGTAGGTTTCACATGACCCAGCAGTTTTGGAAGTGGGCTAGAAAAATGAAGGCCTGGATCAAAGGAAGTGCATCCGCTTTGTCCAGGTAACTTGTTCACGGTCGTCACGTAATCTCACAACGATATCTTAGGTAGTCTTAGATAGTCAGGACTCTGCAGGAAAGCTAGTTAAGCCTCATTAATATCTGTTTTGGGGCCCCGAGGTTTGGGTTGTTCAGACAACTGGTGAAGCAGGGACCATATGCATTTGGGCAAGAAACCAAAATTAGAAACATAAGTTATAGAAAAATTGCATAAAAGTAAGTACTAGACTAGCACTTCATAATAAGAGGAAAAAAACTTTAAGAAACATTTGAGTTATAGAAGGGTAGATGAATAGCCCAGGAAGAGGTTAATAAGGACAATACTTTGGGGACAGGTCTGATAGTCACGGTTATTGTGAAGTACATCAGTCTACTGGTATAATTATCCAGAAGAAGCATCTGTAATTAAACCTAGTGTTTAATGCCCTGGTGTTGGGCATTCAGTACAGACCTGCTTAGTACCTGATGGACCCTTGATTGAGATCAGTGTGATCGATGGAATATGGATTTCTAAGTGCAGGGCAAGAAACCCCATGCAGCTTTTTAGCAAATTAGCAAAATTCTACAATGAGATGATGATTGTCTCCAGAGGGATCTTCGAGAAGCTCCGGGTCAGTGTTTAAAAGAAACGGTCACACTGGCCCAAGTACAGCACATAACTCAGGACCCGCCAGGACCTTCTGTGAATTGGCTTTAATAAGGCCACAGAAGGAAAGCCCACAGACTGAAGCAGCAACGTATTTCCAGTGTGATAATTATGGGTTCAATTCCCATTAATAGGAGGTTTCCCTCACAAGAAGGATTTATCCAGACAGTCTCCTCATCTCCCCCGTGCCTAGAGAGCCCCCATCCCCATCGCCTGGTTAACAGCTTCGCTTGCTGGCGGAGTTTACACGAGGGCTCTGGGAGAGCTGGGAGCCGGGGGGGAGCACAGCTGAGAGCTGTGAGCCCCAGGACTGCATCTCTTGAAGGACTGTGCTAGAATAGCCCTCCGACTGTGTGATCCTGTATCTCTTTCACTGAGCTTACTTATTCCTGCACTGAGGTACCTACGCGGAGTGACTACTGGTCTATCTATTATGGCTGATTTGTTTGACTTTATTTAAGGGACGCTAGAACCTTTGAATTCTAAGATACAAGTTCCTGGCAAAAAATGTTAAGACTTGAGTTGGTCATAAGCTTTTTACCCTGAAATTTAGACAGAGGCTTCATTTAAATAAGATGGCGCTATTTCCAAAAATCACAAAAGCTCTAGATTCGACTTACAAAGTGGAAGTTCAAATATGCAGGTTAATCTCCTCTCCTTAAAGTTCTACGTCATGATAGTGACCTCTGTTTCAGAGCCTGGACGTCTGTTTGGAAGCCATGAGAATGCCACAAAGTTTAGTAGCACTAAAACGATACTGAACTTACTACCTTGGCAGGTACACTTTGAGAATTTCTAAGAGTAACAAAAACTCTGTTTGGCATCCTCGAACGTGTGTGCAAATACATGTGTGTATGTTTCCATGGATACGCCTGTGGATGGCGGATAGACAGCTCTGCTATGCATTCTCTTCCTGGAATCTAAAGCTTTCACCTACTTTTAACGTCGATGTCTTTGGTCCAGAAGACATGATACAAATTAGAAAAACTGCTACCTACTTGGTTGATGTTTCCATTTGTTCCACCAGCATTGTTCTGGAAAATCTTGAAAGGTGTATGTGTATCTTTGGTTTGGGAAGATAATGCCTGAATTCTGCATATACTGTTGTGTGCTGTGCACAGGAACACAGCGTCCGCTCAGGAAACCTGAGCCAGAGATCTCTGGTGAAACCCCAAGCTGTGTCTCCATTAGTTTAAAAAAAAAAAAGAAGGGTGAGGAAAAAAGAGAAGGTACAGAAGCTCAAGCACAGAGCGGTATTAGTGTCAGAGCAAGGAAAGAAGGACGGCCCACCGGGTGGCCAACGTGTAATTGCCACGTTACCTTCTTCTCCTTGGGTAGGGCTGTGGCCCCCGGCCTAGTGTCTTTAACGTGACTGTCAGCCCGGGACTGCTCAGCGTGACTGTTTGAATTTACATCCATAAAGGAACACTTCTGGAATGCCTAAGGAATTAAAACACTGAGTTAACAGGGATCCGAGTGCAGCAAGGAGGTCAGAGGGAACAGGCAGGGAATCCAGAGGATCTCCCGGTCGAGACCCCGGCCGGGTCCTACATGCGGGTCATGCCAGGGCGTCAGCGCCCTGAAAACCGGCTCCCCATCTGACCTCAGGTCAGCAAAGCCCGGGCCAAAGCCTTCCTTATTTTCTGGTCCAGGCTAAGATTAAATGGACAGAGCCTTTGAAAAGAACGCCCCTTCTTCCTGTCCGGGTGAACCTGATTTGCATTTAGTAGGGCTTCTTTTAAAGGGCTTTGACCTTTAAAAAATGCTGAATATGTAAATGAATTAAGAAGCTATCTATCTTTTTTCCTCTTCATTATAAAAGGGCACAAGATATTGCAAACCATTAAACCTTAAAAGGAAAGTAATCCTTAACAATTCGTTGTCTGCAGTAGCAACATACTCCTGTGCCCTGGGTAGTTCTGACTCACGTAGAATAAAGCAATCCCTTTAGCACGCAAGTGATTCTGAGCGGCCTGGGAGCTGCCTGACCCCCAAAGGCTTGTCTCTGAAAACTAATGATGGATCGTAGTTATAGGAGGCCAGGGCCACTCCTGTGAACACTGAGTGAGGGAGGTCGGTTCTCAGAGAGAAAGCATCTGCTGTGTCTATAGGGCAGAAAAGAAGTGGCAATATATATGATCGCGAGAGCAGGAGAGACGGTAACCCAAGCAGCGAAATGTCCTGAAATCGGTGATTCTCAATCAGGCTACATGACACCCAGTTGAAAAAAAATACTGTTACCCAGGCCTCACCCAGAGCATAATTAAGTCAGACTCTCTGGGCTGTAGGATTTTTTTTTTTAACTCAAATTATTCTAATGTGCAGGCAGGATTAAAGAGCAGTTGTTGAAGTGAATAATTTCAACTGATCGCCTCGTATTTCCTTAATGTCAAATAGTGTCATTTGGAAATAACTGCAGGCACAAAGAATACCTCATGCCTTCCCCAGGTGAACATTCCAGCACAGGTTTTAAAATACTAGCGGAGCGGATGCCCGGGACCTTCCCCGGCCTGCTCTTCCCTCACTCTGCTGGCTCCCGGTTCCCTCCTTAGACACCCACCCGGTCCTCGCGGGCCCTGGAGGTGCCCGGGGCTCTGCTTGCTAAGGCCACTCGGCATTTCCGTTGGGCTGTTAGACCCTGAACTCGGGAGCTTGTGGTTTCTTCTGATGCCTGGTGACGCACAGCAGGAAAGCTGTTCTACGATTACACTTGGGGCGGGCGGGCTGGGCGGGGGCGGTGCTGCAGCTGCTCCTTCCTGCCTCAGAGGGGCTGGCGGGTGGGGGAGGCGTCTAGCTCGAGAGCCTGCAAAGGCTCCAGCATGGCCGCTGGCCGACTCTTCGATGCAGCAGGCTGGCTAATGAGGTTTGGTTACCTTAGGGTCAGAGCACTTCACTCACCACTGTTACCTGACCACCAATAATATAACAAGAAGCCAGATACTCTGCCTTTGTAAAGGTTTCAGTCAAAGGAAGCATCAAAGATATTTAGCTTTCAGTGGAGGGAAATATCCTCAAGTGATGGGTTCTAAGTGGCTAGAACAAAAGTTACTTCTCTCGGGGGCTAGTGCAGGATTAGTCACAAGCTTAAACGCCTCACTTCTTTGATCATTAGTGCTTGTTGCTCACCCTTCACAAATGAGAAGTTATCTAGTGCTTAGTCATCCATTTGAAACAAACCAGGTCATGATTTATTTATACCATGATTTATTTATTATTTATACCATACTTTAATATTGGAGTATAATTGATTTACAATGTTGTGTTAGTTTCAGGTGTACAGCAAAGTGACTCAGTTACACGTATACCTATTTTTCAAATTCTTTTCCCATTTAAGTTATTACAGAATATTGAGTAGAGTTCCCTATGCTGCACAGTAGGTCCTTGTTGATTATTTTATATATAGTAGTGTGTATATGTTAATCCAAAACTCCTAATTAATCCCTCCCCTGCCGCCACCTTTTCCCTTTGGCAGCCGTAAATTTATTTTCTTAGTCTGTGAGTCTGTTGCTGTTTTGTAAGTAAGTTCATTTGTATCATTTCTTTTTTTTTTTTTTTTGATTCCACATAAGTGGTATCATATCGTATTTGTCTTTCTCTATCTGAGTTACTTCACTTAGTATGATTATGTTTTGGTCCT